CCCCCCGCCTCTATTTTGGGTGTTATCATAGTAGCATTTCTTTAAGGTACACAATTTCATTCTCAGGAGCCAAACAATATAAATAGATGATTTACGGCAACGACAGCGGCCATTTTGGTTTCACATTCCCCCCTTTGAACTGAAGAAAGGAGAGGTCATAATGTATATCACTCGTACACAAGCGCTATTTGGCTCCAGGCTAAAAAAATTGTCTTGCACAAAACAGAGTACAGTTAAGTCAACACCCACGTCTGTGGTGTACCGGTGAGACCCTTTGCCGTCGCGCGCAGAAGACCGAAGTTCGATTTCTGTGTGTGTGTGTGGAGGGGGGGGGGGGGTGTAACATTATATTGAGAATCTCAACCTTTCTGCTGGGATGTTGTATCCCTCACAGCCCGCTTTGGAGGGGTTGACACCCGATTCCTTAATCATCTAAATGGTGTCGTTAAGGGAGTGATTCACCTACATAATTATTTTCTTTTAATAATTAAAAACTCATGTTACTCAGGGGCACTCAACGTCTTTTAAAAAAGATGTATGTTGTTGTATAGTTGCTTTCACTGAAGAAGCTGGCTAAGGTAAGGAAAAGAAACAGACCACAGAAGTTATCACACTTCCATAGCTAATAAACCAATAAATGAGTTGTCGTTTGGGAAAATAATTCACCGGTTTATTGTTCGTAAAAGGATTACAAACACGTCCAAATCTGACTTAAAATCTGGAAATATCTGAGATCAGGAAGCGCAGTTTTTTTAAAGCCAGGAGCTGCCGACGAAACTATCACTGGTGTGGTTGTCAGTCAGACACGGTCCCTGGTGTGGAGGAAGCGACAATGTGATGTGATCCTTTAGTTCTGTGTGCCGTCTGATCTGATGGATGAGAGAATAACTGAACAATTACTTTAAGAATTATTTTTCCCTGGAAAACGGTCAAGATTACTTCCTCTGATTAATGTTTTCACGGAGTAAGGGAGATAAACATCGGAGTGTATGATATATGATATTATGGTAAGGTCAGTTGTTACGTCTTTCTAATCTAAAACTCTTCCTATTTAATTATTAAAATAATTGGTTACGTCCCTCCTGAGCAAGACCAGGGCAAATCGAATCAGGACAGCAGTTTTCAAACTTTCAGTTGTTGGGGTTTTTTTCTCCTTCTCCAGGGTGACAGCGGAGGCACTTTGGTCTGTGGGGCGTGGCCGTGGGCGTTGCCAGTTTCGTAGAAACATTTTGTGACGTCAGCGGTATCGTGCCCAACGGTTGGACAAGTTTGTCTTGGCATCGACGTTAACTTGACTTCATGCTCACGTTGTGAATAGGCAAAGTGTTTGAATGCTGTGCTTTATATTAAAGCTATGAAATACAGCATCGTCGTTGCCTTGACTTTCTGCTCGCTTTGGGAAATCTGAGTGCTGCCCTGAGCTGAGTTTTAAAGCTATGCAGTTAGTGGTGCAGTATTGTTGCAAAAGGGAGTCAGTGGTATCAATAAGTAGTTAATACCTCCTCCCTTTCCTTGCTCTTCTTCTTTCTTTCTACATCCCTCCTGCTCCTCCTCTGCTCCTTTTCATCAGCCTCCTCCTTCTCTTCTTCCAACCCCTTCTTCTCCTCTCAGTCCTCAACCTATCCCTTCATTTCTTACAATCTCTCCTAGGTTTCAAAATAAAGAGAAGTGTTTATCTAAAAAGCTACGTAAATCTGAGACGTTGTAGTATCTTTTATCAAACAGTAATTTTAATAGTTGTGTAATAAGCGGCTGTTGGCCCGTGGACCTCATTACAATTTTGTTGTCAGAAGGATTTTAATAAAGCAACTGAACAGAATAAAAGTAGAAAGTTATTTTGATTTTTGTTTGGTTTTTATAAAATATATTTTGTCATTTCATTTCTGAACCGCCTTCGGTGAGACAATAGCACTCTCCACATCTGCTACATCTCCATAAACTTACTATTAATAGGCTTATTAATAGGCCATAGAACAAGCCCGGTTATGTCTATTAATAGTGGAAGTCCATTTCTGTCTAACAACAGAAAACGTCCATTTTTCCAACCCGTCTTTGCTCCGACCCACAAAGCACTCGTTGATTCTCCTCCATCCTTTGAGGTTATGCGTCTGTGATAATGGTCCATCCTTTGAGTTGTGCGTCTGTGATAATGGTTCGGCCTTGACTTGATTTATTTTTCCACCAGTTCAAGGCTCCAACACTAGTGCCTTCACTTATGGTATCACACAATATGTGCGTGCACTGGGGTGGGGACCCCATGAAATAGAAGGTAATTATAGGAGCGAGCTACTGGTGGGTCCCATTTCTATTCTTTACCTCTTTTGTTTCTGTCTATTCTATTTGTATTTCTTTTTGCTACCATTAAATTACCATTAGTGAAAATGACCAAACTGATTCTAGCGTTTCTCTTTTCTCAAACAAACAAAATGTGACACGAAAGTAGCCAGAGCTTTATTTCAACAAACAAACTAACTAACAAACAGGTAAATGAATAAATAAACAAACACAAACAACCAACCAGCAAATGAAACAAGGTAGCCATGGCTTTACGAACTTT